TTTATTTTAAGCCCATCTGTGAGACCACAAGCTATGGGCTGACTGACCACAATACTCTTTGACAGTTATGGTTGACAACACCCATATGAAACAAAAATTACTGTTCTTCACATGCCTACCAGCATGGGGTTTTAGAGGAGCAGATGGTCTTTGAAAACTAGGGAGTCTGTGGAGAGCGTTAGCTCTCGAGAAATGCTTTGAGATACATTTCACCACTTAAAACTGATTCTCAGTTGGTGATATGGGGGGGGAAAAAGTCAGTTATTCTGGGGAAGTAAAAAAAAAAAAAAGGAATAGTAACCACAAAAATGAAATGGTTGTTTCTTACAGGCATGGAATACCAGAGTTTAAAAAAAAAAAAAAAAAAGGAAAGAAAAAGAAAAGGAAACTTGTTTTATACCTGGGAAAAAAACAGAGATTTGCAGCTAAAACAATTTTAAAAATGGAAATATTTTAAAACCACAAAATACGTACAATGTATGTAGTTTATAACAACCACTTATGTTGCTTTCTCACACTTTATAATCCTGTTAAAACATTAGCAATTAATTATAACTTCCTTACATATAACTTTTCTTGGGTTACACACCTATGCTGGTAGTAAGTTTTTTGTAAAAAAGAAAAAAACATAAACCAAACCAACCAACCAACCAAACACCAAAAAACCAGAACCCAACCCCTCTTTTCTCCACCATGTATGTGATACTGATGTAGATGACTGTCATTTTCTAACTGCTGTCTCCCTCCCTTTCTCCTGTAGCTGGAGCAATTTCCAAAGTGTTTAAAGCAAAGGGTTATCACCAGATGTCCTGGTTTCACTACTCATCCTTCTGCTTGCTCGTGGTGACTCTTTAAGCCATTCACTTCTTTCCTTAGCCAAGTCATTTGCCTCATACTATAAACAAGCAGGTAATCCCTGTGCCCACGAGGCTGCTGCGGGGCGCCCGCAGGCCGAGAGCCAGAGGAGCTCTTTGTGTACTGCGTTCCTGCACGCAAGCGGTGTGCCAGCCATCGTAGCTTTGCAAAAGTCAGTGTTCGCACCACGCTGAGCCCTGGGCTGAAGGTGGATGATCAAATGTGACAGCCCTGTGTTATAACAGCTCCTTATGGAGGTATCTCTGGATGGGAAGAAGGGTTAAAATTTAAGTCCTTCGGTGTCCTATTATGGCTTAAAACCTTACCGATCTGACCAAAGAATTATAGCCCCATGGGTAATGGTGGTGATGGAAAGAGATTGAAGATGAGTTCTTGCTTTAATGCCCATGAACCACAGCGCTTCCACGTGTGCTGCATGCCGTGGCCCCAGACGCCGCAGTGATGGGTGGCCTGTCCCTGGGACAGGCTACGAGGCAGGGCAAATGTGGGACGGTGTGAGAGTCGATAAATGGCACAAAGCTCAACCCACAACCTTCTGGCTTGTTTACTCCGTGACCTCAATGCACCAGCACACCTGGACCACCCAGAAACCTTCCCCAAACAGATTTGGTCACTGCTGTCTTGGATCAGATGTTTCCAAGTGAATCTTGGCTCCTGTTCATCTCCCGCTCCCTGAGGCTCCCCTGGAGCAACACCCTGCAATTCTGATGGAGGATGAAGACCTACTCAAAGGAAAATCTTGTCTCTAAGGTCTCATGGAGAGGTTCATGGTGGGACAGAAAGCTGTAACACTGAGAGCGCAGACACCAGGACCTTGTAGCTATGATGTCTCGGTTCAGAACAGAGGTGAAACAGCTTGGACAGGCACACTAGGACTCAAACCACCAGCTGATAAAACACATCATCTTAGAAACGTAAAGAGTTTTCATAATGAATCTGCTCTGAAAGAGTTTTTTGATTCATTTTCTGAAAATCGGTTCCACTTAAACATTCAGCCCCTGACTTTGCACAGAGGCAGGAAAAAGGAGGTAAGGAGATTTCCCCGCAGTTTGCCTCCTTTCAGAAAAACAGGCCCATCCCTCCACAGCTCAAGATCTGTTCCCGGCTAAAGCAAACTGGCTGCCCATGGGGGAGAGAGGAAAATCTACAGTCGTCTCTGCAGACCAAACCACCATGTGACCCAAGCTAAAGATGTCCACCAGTCTCTATGGCCTACCCTAGCTGTCATGACTGCTGTGGAGTCCTAGTTCAACAGGGCAATGAACTCTTCAAACTGACTGTTATCCAGAACCGCTGGACCCTGATGCCATACCCAATTAAGGGTCGAAGCTATGCATAGGTGGTGTGAACACGGCCCACTGCTCATCTTCCACTTCCCAATGGTCCCTGCCTGCAATATTTCAATGCAAAGTGTAGGAGTGTATATACTGGAGGTAAGTTGCTCATTTTTCTGCTGATATTTCATCACTGTTTCCTTCGGAAAAGGCTGGGAGGCACTGTGAGTCTACAGTGTGTCCTGATGGATCAAACAGGCAAGAGTCAGATCATATGTTCTCCTTTCACCTCCACAAGAAAACTTCCTACAGAAGCATCCTAATGCCTGATTCTGCTTTCTCTCACCATGAGAAACCATACACAAAGGGAGCAAAATGCGGATTGGGTGATGTTATACAGTCACTGTACACTGGCATAAATGATTACACAGGGGTCAAGGAAATACGTGAATAAGCTTAAGGGGATTCTTCTGACATAGATAAAATGGAGATTAGCAGTGCACAGAATGGGGTTGGGACCCACTTTTCTGAACATTCACAAATGCTTCACCGTTTTACACAGGGTACTCACCTGTAGAAAGCCTGACATTATGAAGAAATATATTTTGCAGGTTTCATAATATAAAAATTAATGTAATTGCTGAAATCAAAGTTTTCAAACCTGACCACTCTCCAAATTTGCAAAAACTAGGAAAAGTATCTAACTGTATAATTAGGTGACTGTTTGTGAATAAAAACCAGTCTATTAGTTCTTCTACTGTCACAGGGGACAATGAGAGGACTCAACAAATAGTTGACGCAGAGTGTACAAACAACCAAGACATCTTTAACATGAAAGAGTACACAAAGAAGCATTAGTAGTCTGAATCCAATATACAGTTCAGGAAAGACAATTCAAACCTTTCACAAGGCATAAAAGTCTGTTCAATTTCTGTTTACCAATGGCATTGGAAACCTCATGGAGAATGAAATCATATTCTCCATTTTCTGTTCATTTGCGTAAGAATTTCTCAAGTTTTTCAGAATATAAATGCACACTTGAGATAAGCAAAACAAACCTTGCTTAACCCCAATCACACAGTTGTAACAGGATGGGTTTCTTACCGGGTGGCATTTTCCAAAGCCCTGGAAAAGGATGAATAATCATCGGTTGAGTGTTCGAGGGAGTAATACCACGTAGCTGCATCTTCAATGAACGAGTTGGAGTCTTCTCCCCCCAAAGAATTTTGCAGAGCCTGATAAAAGGCTGTTTTGCTGTTGGTTCTTCCTTGACTTTCTTCAAATTTCTGAGAACAAAATGCATACATGGAATTTACAAACAAAACCAATAGATTTTTAATGGAACAATATAGGCTCAGATCTCCCTCTGCTGGAATGAGTCCTCTCTGCTGTGATTTCAGATTCCTAGGAGCAGAATCATAGAATCATAGAATCATAGAATCATTAAGGTTGGAAAAGACCTCTAAGATCATCGAGTCCAACCGTCAACCCAACACCACCACGCCCACTAAACCATGTCCCTAAGCGCCTCATCTACACGTCTTTTAAATACCTCCAGGGATGGTGACTCCACCACTTCCCTGGGCAGCCTGTTCCAAGGCCTGACCACTCTTTCAGTAAAGAAGTAAGGGACAGTCCTACTTTTGCTTTCCCAATGCTATCACCAGCCAGCGGTATTGGCTTCTTCAAAACATACTATAGGGCTGAATCCCTGAGCTGGTAAATCCAATCATAGGTACAGTGCTGTGTGTATGTAGCTCTAACACTACAGAAACCTAGAGGTCCACATGGGTAGTTCTCCAGTGTGAGCGTGCCCAAAGCTGTCTTTCTGATGAGCTCCCTGCAGGGAAACTGAAGGGGTGAGAGGGAGATATTGCTCCTTTCCTTTGGAAGGTCCAGAAAGCAAACATGCCATATAGCCATTTCATGGCTATATCACTCTGCCCCTTCTGAAAACATCTACAAAGAAATGTGGCTGCCAAAAGGCCTGTAGTTAGGTCCCTTCTGGACTAATACCTGCCTTAGCCCTGGAAGAGAAATCCCCCTCCTCCAAATCCCAATGAAAGTAGCAGCCGTGATCTTCGAACTTCATTACCCCTAGGGCCTTTCAGAGAGACCCACCCTGAAATGCCCTTTTCCTGACACCTGTGGTCTGAAACCTTTCCTGACATAACGGCATTTTCCCCAGAACAGAGTGCCCATGTCACTGCAGAATTACCGATAGCAGGGGGACCATCTCCTGTGCCAAACTGCTTACCCCACCCTATTTTTACCAAAGCTAAAGACTGCTGGAAGTTTTCACCACATCTTTTTTTGAGGAAGTTTTTTATTTTATCAATTCAGATTTTTCACCTTTTTTTTTTTAAATAATTTATTTCAAGTTCAGAAACAGAGCCGAACCTTCCTGTGGATCAAATCCTTTCTAAAGAGGGCACCTTGCAGGTGCACGCTGGCTGAAACTTGGTATAAGAACTCCAGAGAGAAAGATCTAATAAAACATTATTTTGGGCAGTCTGATGCAAAATAGGCTGGTGTCTGCCCAGTCCAGTTACCATAGATGCTTTACTGAATATAGTATTGTGATGGCCCGCAGCTGGTTTTCATCATGCAGCTAGGTCTTTCCACAACCCTATACAGAAAGTACAGAGGGAATAATTACTTTTCAACAGATTCACAGAAATGAAAGATGGAAAATAAGTCCCTGTCTGCTGAGGCCAAGGCCTGTCCTTACTGACGTACTCTAACACTTTGTGCATTTTGATTAACTGACTTTACAAGGGATTTCAAAACACTACCAAATATCCTAAGGTCCAAAAAGATCTTGGCAATTTTCCTTGTATTTATAATAAATTCTTCTTTTGCTAGATTTTGGCCCATGCAATGTGAAAAGAGTCATGTGGTGCCAGTTTTAGTAATACAGCTGAACTTCAAAAAAGATCTGCGACTCACACATGACACGTCACTTCATGTGCACAAATGCCACATATGAAACCACATAGCACACTTGCCTGCAAAATCATTCAGATTAAATACAGCAAGGACACGTATATTTTTCTGCAAGAAACAGAAATTATTGCTGAAGACCTGACTGCAGATTCACTGAATTCAAAAGCGATCTTCCCATCAGCTTCGGCACATATCAATTCAGCTCCCTAATAACCAGCAGAAGCATTGCTGCTGTCTAATTAGGAATCTCTCATTTGGCGACTGGAACTGGTGGATTTGGTTAGCAGATATGGATAAGAACAGATGCTTTTCTGTGTCAATGCAGAGCCCAAGCTCTTATGTGTAAAGCATCCTGTACAAAGCAACTTTCATGCAAAGCTTTCATTTTGTTGGGTTTTTTTTAATGGATTTGTTACCTTATTCTACACCTTTCATGGATAACTTAAAACAGAGAGAAAAAGAAAGAGAAAAAAACCTTAGGGTATTGATTATGTACCCTAGTGTCCTGGTTTCGGCTGGGATGGAGTTGATTTTCTTCCTATTAACTGGTATAGTGCTGTGTTTTGGATTTAGTATGAGAATAGTGTTGATAACACACTGATGGTTTAGTTGTTGCTAAGTAATGTTTACGCTAGTCAAGGACTTTTCATCTTCCCGTGCCCTGCCGGGTGCGCGGGGGGCTGGGAGGGAGCGTGGCCAGGATGGCTGGCCCAGCTGGCCCAGGGGCTATTCCATACCATATGACGTCATGCTCAGCATATAAGGCTGGGCGAAGAAGAAGGAGGGGGGGACGGTCGGAGTGATGGCGTTTGTCTTCCCAAGTAACCGTTACACATGATGGAGCCCTGCTTTCCTGGAGATGGCTGAACGCCTGCTGCCGATGGGAAGTAGTGAAGGAATTCCTTGTTTTGTTTTGCTTGTGTGCGCGGCTTTTGCTTTCCCTATTAAACTGTCTTTATCTCAACCCACGAGTTCTCTCACTTTTACCCTTCCGATTCTCTCCCCCATCCCACCCGGGCAGAGTGAGTGAGCGGCTGCGTGGTGCTCAGTGGCCGGCTGGGGTTAAACCACGACACCTAGGAACTGATCCTTCACTGCCTCATCAACTACCAAGCACCAAACAAACATTACAGTTGAAAACCACAGAGAAGGAGATGGATCATCATACAACACGTGGTTAAGCTGAGGAACTCCTTGCCACGTGGCTTTGCGGATGCCAAAATTGGTGAAGATGAAGTTTCATGAACAAGTTTTTAAATTTAAAACAAAAAAAAAAAATCAGAAAAAAAATCAGTTGATGGTTATTAGTTAAGGAAAGACCAATTCAGGCTAGGAAGTCCCTGAGCTGCAAAATGCTAGAGGTTTGGAGAGCGTTTAGCAGAAGTATCAGATTTGCTTACCCTACATCCACTCTTAGCCACTGCTGAAGACAGCATTCTGTGCTAAATGGGCCCTTGATCTGACTCAGTGCGGTCGGTGTCAGGTTTTTACTGCGTCTATGTACTAGTTTCTGTGATCTTCAAAATGCCCCCAAAATTCTGGTGACCTTTCTCAGCAATCATTGATAATAGAGTGGGGTCCTTGAGATGCATTCAGTCAGGTGAAAGAGGACTCAACAGGCAGAGATGGATGAGAAACAGAACTGGCATTTGCAAGACATTTTGAGATTTTTCATCCCAACCAGCACTAAAATAGCACAATCTGAAACATGACGTCTCAAGTGTCACTTTGGCTACAGTATAATATAAATTCAAACATCTGACTTTAACATGATAACACAAAACAAAGCAATGCATTCAAAATAAAACCCATGGAACATTAAAAAGACAAAGCATTTTAGCTTTTCAGAAATTGATTCAATTTGACCACTGTTCCATGTCCAACAAATGTTTCCCATTAGAAAATACATGACCAAGGAACAATTTTCAAATAGCAGTAGATATAACAGCTGCTACCAGATTAATAGAAACAGCTGCACATTATGTAAAAAAATTTACATTCTACTAACCTTCAAAGAGGTATTAGCAACTGACCTCAGAGTTATAGTGGGGTTTTCAACTAATTTGGGAAAGTAAGTAAGAAAATAATTAAAGACAGCAGGTGCACCTCTTTCTATTGTTCTGGTGACGCAAAGCGGTCATAAACATTGTCTAAATAATTAGTTATATAGTGCTTACTGTTCTTGTTCCTGCAACTTAGCTTCTGAAGCATATGAATGAATCTGGTCCAGTGTTTTATTTAAAAAGAAATTGTAGCAGTTGGCAGACCAAACATTTACATCTTCCAAGGGGCAAAATGTACTTTTTTGACAAACTGGAATAGTGATAACACTAATAGAGTGTGTACAGATCTTACGTCTTAAACGGCTTTTGATAAATGTTGTCACAAAAAATGGTGAAAGACCTGCCAGCCATTCAGCAGAGTGTTTCAAGGATTCCAGCTAGTTACAAGGTGAAGTAAAGAGCTGATATCAGCCCATTCTCCTCGCTGATGGCATTTATCAGGACAATGCTCCCCTGGTCATTACAATTAATACAACATATCTGCTATCTGTTGCATGTTGCTGAATACCTTTATCCATAAAGAAATTTACTGAGTAATATAGTGCAGGATGGAAGATCTGGTCTGCATAGATCCAGTTACTAACATGGGGTAAATAAACTAGATTTCTATCTATCCACTCCCTTATGTCCTGGTACTGGCTTCTGCAGCCAACTAGATTTGTACTAAGGAGGGAAACAAAAAGAAAGAAAACACATAAAGTGCAACCTTAATCTTCCAACTAAAAAGAAAGTTAACAATCCTTCCAATGTGGAGATTACATAGTAGGCACAGAACATATGGAGGATATAAACAGGGCCGTACTGACTTACATGCATATACAGACAAACACAGATATAGATCAGCATGAGTGACTGTATATTTAATGCCAGTTGGAACCATTAGATCCTCCCACCTGAGCATCACAAATAGCACAGGGATAAAGTTTTGCCCAGTTGGGAATTGAAATCAACATTTTTAGAGGTTTCTGCTCAGCTGCCCTAATCTATGACTGCTCAAAGCTAATATCCCTGAAGGTCTGCCATGGGAATTGCAGTTAACGGGTTCAGTCTTAACCGTTCCATATGCCACATAAGAGTGCATTATGGCACCACTTGCCATTCCCTTAGCAAACTCTGTTTTGTTTCTCACTTAGTTTCAACCATCTGATGGCTGCACTGGGGATGAGTACGAAGTGCTCCAGGAAGTGGTAAATCTGTCTCAGTTCACACGAATAAGCATTCAAGTGAATGCCATAAAACGGTCATTTTCACGGGCAAGACATTGAGCACGAATGTTCAGCATACTCTCTGCTGCAAGCATCACTGGGAGACCTCAGCCTTTAACTGTAAACAAATCAAACACAAATGTTTTGCTAGCACATAAGTGATGCCTTCTGTCTTTCTGTTTCATTTTTAATAGTAAAGGTCTTAACAGGCATAAGCCAGTGTTGCAGTGGGAGTACAGAGACACCCAACACAACCAAATGCCAGTTAGTCCCCACAGAACAACATGGCGCCAACTGGATTTACCACCTTCAGGTCTGGTTGCAGTGTAGAGGTCTTACTCTCACTCCTAAGACTCGACAGCATGCAACTCCAGTCTAAGGTGGTAAGATTTGCATCACATCTCAAGCTTGCTTGCATCCAAATGGCTAAAAGTGTCTCCTCACCATTTGCAGGATCAGTATTAATAAAGCAAGACCAGGATTAATAGAGCAAGCCCTCGGCTGAATTTGCCAGCACAGCTATTCCCAGAAACTGGTGGAACAGGTCAGCAGGGGTTAAATTTTTCTATCCCCCACTCTTTGCATCTGACTACACTGTAATCAGTCATCCTAAAGGGGATGGAAATGAAGGACTTTTTGCCAATTGCATACACTTGCCACAGGACCTTTTAGCTGTGCCATTTACCTACCCAAATACATGCATGGTTCTTCTCTCTACAGAGTTGGAGCACATCCATAGATGGATTTTCACCCTAGGGAGGTTTGGTCCCCTCTTTGTAGAAAAGATTAAATAACTTCATTGTAGTCAGAGGCAAACTAGGAACTATGCCTTGGTTCCCTGAGTTGAGTTCAGTGCTCTGTCCACCAGCTAAGCCCTCCCACCTTCCTTAGTATAGCAGTAAAACCAGCTTTGGGGTTTCCCAGAAAGATGCAAGTCAGATCTACCTCAAGGGAACCCTTATAACGAATAAAGTAGAAGAGTGGGATGCAGTGTGGGTTGTCTCAAATCCTTCTTCTGGGTCTATTATGGGGAGAGGACAGTTAGCACGGATCAAAGATCCCTTATGACATTATGACAGAGGAAACAGGTCACAGACTTCTCGGTAACAATGACCACCCACACCAGTTTCTGCCACTGTAGCTAAATACGTCTGTGGCCTACTCAGGACTTTATCATCTGACTTTGACTGCAACCAAGCGTGGTCATGGCTATGACATACAAATGCTCTTGAGGACCTGGAAAATGCATGGTTTTAAATAGCTTAATGACGGAGGAAGCATTACAGTTTCCCGGCAATTCATACGCTAACTACGTGGACACGGAAGAAATCAGGAAACTTTAACCTTGCAGCAAGTCTTTAAGAAAACAATCTGAAGACAGGAATACAGACTGGTCAAAACAGTCATATTCCCTCAAGCCCTAAAAACCTGAAGGCACAGGAAAATAGAGATAGAGGAAAATGTGCATTAAAAAATCATCAGTTCTTACTGAGAACATGAAAACAGCTTAAGGATGTCAAAAGGAAGAAAAACAAAATATAACCACCTACCATGAACATTGTGAATTTTCTGGAACAGAGATGGACTCTGACTTACAGCAGTAGCACCAGGTAAGGTAGGTACTATTATAATAGCTAGTAAAGAGGTAACGATCCTTCTAAGTAAGGATAGTTAAACTCTTCCCAAAGGAGATCAGAAGATCTCTAACAGTAGGAGATTTTAAAACAGGTCTCTCAGGTTGAGGTAGATACGACCATTTCTTAGGGTTGAATTGCACCAACTTTTTGAGTCCCCTTCCAATCTTATTTTCTGCAAGCCTTTAAATAAAGAAGATATTCCAGACTTTATTTTTGGAAAGGCAACATTTTACTGCTGAGCTCTCAGTTACGAGTGTTTTTCCTTTTCATTTCAACCTGACAGTGCTGGCTTTTAGCACTTGTGGCTTTCATTAACACCATGATTTTTTGCATAATTTCTAATACACCATGGAATTTTATTTCGGTTTTGCAGACCACTGTCACATGTGGCAATAGTGGCAAAGGAAAGAATTTCACTTCCTAGTCTTCATCACATGACTTGTAATGAGGTTACTGAGGTTTATTCCCTTCTCACCGGGTCTGGATCATTATCTGCAGGCCTCCAGCATCACAGTCCTTTTCCTATGCCTGACTTCCTCTTTTAATTGATTCCAAAAGAGAAAGATACATGAAATAAGAGCAGGAAACTTCTGATGGAGACTAAACAAGCAATATGAACTTTATTCAGGGGGGTCAAAAAGCCTTCTTTGAAAGTAAAGTAAGTCCTGAAGTAAATTGGTCTATGTGTTATTGGCTACGAGCAAAGAGAAGCTGGGATTAACCTTTCACTGCTTTCTAAGAGATTAAATCCACACAGTTACAGAAAGATAGCAACAGACCTGCAGTTCACTTAGATAACCCTCAAAATAATCCCTGCTGTGTTACATTCTCCTGTTGATTTCTTAGCATATATCTGAGCACATTGGAACATTTAATTTAATTTGGCAGTGTTAAACACGGAAGTGCTATTGTTCCCATCGTAGAGAAGGACAAATGAACTAGACGAGGTTGATATGCTGTCTCAAGAACAGACAGTGTCAGAGAGTTCATAAGAAGACACAAAATTCCTCTGGGTAGACCTTCATGATTTTGAGGACTTTTATGTCCAAAGTACAGCATGGAAGAAATTCTTTTTCATTTCACCAGTTTATGCCCTGAAATCCCAGCCCACACATCAGGCCAGTGCTATTCTTAGTCATAATTAGTCCATATTCAGAATCATCTTTACAAGAAAATATACTTCTTAAAAGCACCAAGAAAAAAAATGTTGACGCAAAAAAAAACGGCAATGGAAAAGACTGACTTAGCCCTGCTGCACAGTGAAGAGCATCATAACCAAGTTATGAGCTTGCTTTCTTCTTTGTGATATACAACTGAGATTGCAATATAAATAGGATTTCAGAGACAGTAAAACATACTGCTGCATATTGGTACATGCTAAATCATTGCTGATCTTTTATCTTTTCATATCTCCCCCAGTAGTGTTAATCAACAAATACAATAATGCCATTAATCAGCCTAAACAGGACTGGCTGGAGATGGACAATGCCTTTGCATATTTGCATTGAGTATAATTCACAGATTGTAGAAATCAAAAAAGATCTGTCCTGGCTGCATATGATTACCGTCATCACTATAGTAATAGTAACACCATCAGTTCCTTAACAGTGAGTCTCTTCTTACCTTAATTGCCTTAGCTCTGCTGATCAACCCATCTTGCTGAGCACTTCCAATGAGCAGATCTACTTTCCGAAGTTGAGGGCGCTGCAGGGCTTTAGCTAAAGGTTCCCGAAGGTAAATTCCATCCATCACTGGACCCCAGTACTGGAATGGACCACTTACAGCTAGGAGCTAGATTAGCAAAAAAGGAATAATAGTGCAGTTAAATTAGCTTACCTTGGTCATTTCCTTTTTACTTATGTTTCAGAAAACTGAGCTGATAGCCTTCACGTGAACAAGTGGTCAGTTAATGTAAGTGCAAACTCACCATTGGCAGGCAGCAACGCTTTTGCTGACAGTCTCAGTAGGTGAAACGAGCTGAATAGGCCAAGAATTGATGGTCTTATAGTCATAAAAATATTGTTTTAAATTAGGGATTGTCTCTATGCTGGTCCTGATGGGAAATGTATTACCAGTGGGTGTTTTAATCTGTGGGTAAAGGATCCACCTCTAGAATCATTTATACTGCAGCTATCACATGTCTCCCACTTAAGAAACAGAGCACTGATATCCCTCCCCACTTTGTCTTCTGCCGAAAATGCAGTTACTGAAGCTACAGACAGTTGATTCTCCTCTAGAGTAACACCCAGGGGCAGACGAAAGGGGACTGAAAGAAGGTAAAAACTATCTTTAGATTAATTTTGGAAGATGTGACCAAAGTAGCGTAAAAGGAATTTAGTTTAAAGAAGAATCAAGCTGTCAGTATTCGTAGGTCAGAGGTGGATGTGATGGACATCATCATCACTCCACCAAAGCTAGTCCAGTTCCTCTTTCACAGGGATTCAGCCCAATTTATTTTTTAAGCTTCCTCACGACTTCGTGTCAATGGCAAATTTTTGATTCCTTGCCAATGCGTACCTTAGTCTGTGCATCATTGAGGACACGAGCAGGTAACTGGCGGAGGCAGGCTACAATTTCCTCATTGGTGGATGAAGGGCATCCCACATCTTCAGCCAGGGCTGCTGCTTGGGTCTGCACTCTCCTCGTAGTAATAATGGATGCTGGAGAAAAAGCTGAACCTCCCTGGAAAAGAAAGACAGTATTAGTCAACGCATGTTGTCAAAACACCTGGTCCCCTGGTGCAGGTAAAAAAAGATGAGAAGCAAACCAGTTGCAGAATGTGAAGCACTGGTATTTAAATCATAAGAAGCAAGTTTGAACAATCAAAGCAAAGGGGAGAAGGATAGGTTTGGCTGTTTCCAGCTCTGCCATGGTTGTTTTGGAAGACCTCTGAAAAGTGTCTGTGTTATGTATATAACAAAGTCACAAATCTTTCTGAAAACTTTGCTGGAAGGAGGAACATTCAGACAGGAGTGGATACAAAGAAGGTGCTGTGAGGAACATCAGGGAATGGAGAGCCCATCCAAGAGGAGACTAAATAGTTTTAATTCCTTAACTGTGATAGTCAAGGACTGAGAGCAGGCATGAACTTTATAAATGAATCCATGAAGAAGAGTTATTTAAACCTTAGGACAATGCTGGTACAAGGCCAAATGGGCATTAACTATTCATATTGAGTGTAAATAAATTTAGACTAGAAATTCTGAGATAGCTAACCCAAGGAGTGGTGAGAGTTTAGAAGAGCTATGAGCAGAGGTAGTAGGAACAAAAGACTAAACCAAGCTCCAGAAGATCAGCCAGAGCCAGAGCACGTCAAAATCAGAGCACGGGCTACAGTCCAATCTCTATCCCAGACTCTTTGTTTCTTTTCTACAGCTGTGCTAACATGGAAAAGGTCCTCACCAAGAAAAGATGGTACAACATTGTTGAGTAACCATGAAAACTGCTTATTGAAAATGCAGATAAATTAGCATAAATCTGATAAGATCTGACCTAGAACAGAAAGGCTGGAATAGCTCTGACATGGTTCAAATGACTAATTTCCAAACGTTTACATCAGTTTACTATAATAACTGCTAAGATTAGCTTCTGTCTTCTAAAAAAAACCCAAACCCTAGATGCATGATATGAAAGATCCTGATCTATTCAACCGATTAACTTCTTACTGAATTTGCTCAAAGCATAACTACAAGTCTGAAAAAACATAAAACCAGGAGCAAGTTAAAAAGAAACAGAAAACAAACAGCAAATCCTTAATTTGAAATTGTCTCAAACCTTTGAGCCCGAAGAACTCTGTGCAGCCCTGGCCAGCACCCAGGACATTTTTTATATTTCAAACAAGCAGACCCTTTGATGCTAATAGGATACCATTGCTCACAACTAGAGAAATTGGTTTCCAAAAATAATTAGAAAGAGGTTATTGTTTGGATGTAGAGACAGTCTTTTTAGTTCACTGTATGTAGAGGTTCCAGTGCTATTACCTTCCTGAAAGGTTTCTCTTCCTTTTTAACGGATCTGGAAAACAAGCACTGTTATTAGCTTAATGACTAAGATGCAGATGGCTGCACATAAGCAAAGGAAAAAGCTAATGTTGTCAATCCTGGGGCACTAGAAGAGCCATCTCTGGTTTTAAGAGGGCAAAGAACTAAAGAAGAAGAAATAAACACTGCTTGGTCTTATTCCTCACTTCCACCCTCGATTGAGATGAGAACTCAAGTGAGCAATGGGCTTTATCCTCACGTGGGATTTGTGGTGGCCTATTTTGTGTTTGTAAAGCATGATATTTGCCAGCTGCTGACTAGGTGCGCTGACTCAGTTGGTCATGAGAGAGAAAGGAAAATATCCTGGATGAGAGTATCTCTGTGTGTGGGTGTGTCCCCAAGACGCAGAATGAGAACGTTGCTTTTTTGCCTGGCCTTCAGAAGAGCATGTTCACCAGAACTAGGATGAGTGAGACTAGAAAAGGGATAACACGGCATGCCAGCTTCCCTCAGAAGAGTAGCTTCCTTGCTTTTCATTTGGAGCAAGGAATTATGTGCCTCCTTGTTATAGCAGAGAAATTAGACCTAGGATTGTACAATATTTATCCACAAATCTGGCAAACATATTCTTCAACATCAGATCTGAACATGCTCAGCATGTTTTATCAAGTATCCCGTACCTCTAAAAGGCATTCATTTAAAACAAAACGGAACAAAACCATAAAAAATTAAAGGGCTTCAATTTCCCAAATTCTGTAAGTTTCACAAATTTTTAAAGTGGCAGTTTCTGTGGAAATTCTGAAGTTGCCTAATTAAAAGGCTAAGTTTGGTATGGAAAGAGAGTACTGAGATCAGATGACACAGAGAATCCAAAAATTCATTGGGACCAAGCAAAACATCTTAGTGTGTGCTTGATTTTGAACACAGGTCCTCCCAGGGATTTCAAAAGCTGTGCAAAGTTCCCCTGTCTCTGAGATCTCTACAAACTGAAAGACCGCCCTTGGGTCAAGTACTGAATCAAACAACGATTGCAAAAGGTTCTGGGTAGAAGTGTCCCACAAGTCCTCCCTGCAGAGGGAGAGCTAAAAGCCTGGTCAGGCAAATCTTCATGTCACGGCACTGGGTGTGTATGGGCTAGCATTAGGTATGGTCTAAGCTTGACGAGTAAAAGAAAACCCCAAAACTTCTGCAAATACATTTGCGAGGTGAGGAGAATTCTTGTTTGGAGCCTTACTCTAGCTGTGGATATTTTCTCTTCTTTGCATGAGTGATTAGAACAGGTTTACGTGCTCTTCTTTATTCTATTTTTTTTCTTCTATTTTCCATGGTAATGGCCACTTCCTCAGTTTGCTTTTTCTGATAACATCCGCATTCAGGAAGCATGTCTTGCATTTGGGGTTTGAAAGAGATGTGGTATCCACTACTGTTATTCATGTTTAATTTTTATTGGGACTGGAAGCGGGTGATAGAGGAACTTGGGACATCATTCAAGTAGTATTTGGAAGCAATATGATTATGTTCCCTCCCCTGGTACATCTGAAATATGTTCCAGGCTCTGGAAACAAGGCTTGTCTTACCGCAGAAGTTAGGCAAGCAGAACTGTACCAGTTCTCTGTTTTTCAAATTCACATCACAATTCAGGCTCATTGTTTCCTCATCCTCACCAAAAAAAACTCAGGAACAAATAAGTGAGAGCAGAAGCTGGAAACTGCCCAGAATTAAATTTCTTCCTTTTTGAGCCTGCAATTTTCACATTAAAAAGAAATCTTCCCTAAAGGCTGTAGCCACATTAGAGGCAGACTCAGGACACAAAGGATAACATAG